CCCCAAAACCCCAAAACCCCATTCGAAATTATTTTGAATTAAAATGAGACAATTAAATGAATTAATTTCAATATAATATTTGATCATATGAGTTAGATTGATCATCTTTTATTCAGCCTATTAATTGAATATCTTCTTCATTCCTTCAGGAATATAGATATCATGCCACCTCCAAGGCAAAGTACGATCATGATACTAACCTAGATGGGGTCGTCTAGTTTGAGTATCACTTCGTAGGATAACATGCCAGCCAAGCCAGCGAAGAAATTACAGACTCCAAATGTAGTAGATGAGAACAACACTGGAAAGACTGAGTTAGACATGTAGATGCCTGTATAGGTGAGACTGATGAAAAATCTGCTCATAAAGGAGGCCATCATCTCTGGATACTCCTAACTTATCAAGATAAAACTACCGAACACTCCTGCTAGTGTGTAACTAAAGAAAAAGAACTTCTTGCCTGTAGTCTTAGCATAGAGGAGCTCTCCTATTATGTAGGCAAATAATTCCACACATAGCCCAGCGATGTAACTATCATAATAATCACTTGGAAAGTAGTTTCCATGAAAAACTATTATAGTGTAGGCAACAATTGTAATCATCCAAAGGAGAACATTTACGATCAGATTTCTTACGTTGCTTTTATCTTAAAGGAATTCCCTAAAGCTAGTTTTGAGACTTGCTTGTATCTAATAACTTAGCCTGATTTACTAGTCTTTCAATTTGCTCTTTTTGTAGTTACTACCAGCAGTCACGATTTCGAACCTCATTTCATTAAGGTCTTGTTCATTATCAAACACGTACTTTTATTCTAACGATTTACCGTTAAACTTCGCTATTTTTTTGCACACGTATTTGCACTCGGAGAATCTATGCAAACTGTATAGATACTCAGGGGTCTCAGGAATAAACCAGAGTCCAATGATACTCAGACCACTGATAGCAACGCCAAATATTTGAAGGTACAGCCAATTCCTGGAGATGTATTTGCAATAAACAGCTGTAAAAATGCATAGTAAACTTTCGAATATTAGTAGCATGGTTGATACTGAATATTTGTACTTCTCTGGTGAGAACTCGTAGACTGTGATATAGCAGCCATTGTATCTTGCAACGCAAACAACTCCCAGAAAGAATGAAAGGCAAGTCATTACTTTAATGTTTCTAGTGAAAAGAACACTGAGGTATAAAGGGAACTAGATTATTATGCAGATGAATATCGGAAATTTTCTCCCATACTTGTCTGTAAGTCTAGGTATAAATAGACACCCAAACGAATAGCCGAGATAGTAAATTGATGAGAGTAAGCTGATAGCTTCAGCTGATTAACCTATAGATTTATGTTGAGCGAGAGCATTTATAGTTTACAGTTCCACCCAAATTGTGTAATCCAGTTATCGAGTGAGTTGTTGTCACTCCAGTCTATTTTCCAATTCCCCAGCTCACAGATCTCATCCTTTGTGCAGCTCTCATAATCTCCTTCTGGGGTTTTCTTGCACAAGTAAGTGGGATCTTGGGTCAAATAGCTGTTATTGTAAGACAAAACACTCCCCGAGAGAAAGGTCATGGAGTAAATGATGCTCATGTAAACTTAAAATCAACCTAGCCCATATTAATGTCAGAAGGTTTCCCCTCCCCCGTTTCAAAACCAAATTAAAGCTTACCGAAACCACCTGCTTTGTTGATCACCTCGTCTAGGGTGACTATATTCTTGACTTGAGAGTTATTGATCAGTTTGGAGATTCACTTGTCAAAGTATTCCTCTTCAATCCGGTATGGTGTGGACGTGTCTTCTTCTAGAAATTCAATGGATTCCATATTGAGTATTATTCTATTCTCTTTGAAATTAAAATCTGGATGTTTTATAAAATTAATTGTATTTTTATAATTTTATCCCTATAAATATCTTCCCTTCTATTTAATATTTAAATCAGAACTAAACTATTTATATCCTCTCGCGGGGTTTTGGGGTTTTGGGG